ACCTTTCTTGGCTATCTTTTAAAAATATCTATCCCTAGATAAGCCATTTTTAGTCTTCCCTGCTTGGCTTCCAGCCACTCCTTCATATCCCTGTTCTCCCTCCTTCTCACCTACTTGTCCTCCTGTGTCTCTTCTGCTTTTATGGCACAGTCCTTCTTCCCTCCTTACTCACCTGCTCTTATCCCAACCCTTGCCAAGGAATCGTAGCCCCCCAGTGGCCTTTGGGAGGACTGTTGGCCTCATGGGGCCTCACTGCTGATAATCCAGATCCATGAAACCGGGTCTTCTGTGGGGCTGGGCTGGGTCCTACTTGTGGACACCTCCCTCCCCCTTTCCTTCCTCTCTCCCTTCTCCACCCAGTGATCTTTGTTAAGGAGGGCCACCTGAGGGCGCCTGGGTGGCTCAGTTGGTTAAGCGACTGCCTTCGGCTCAGGTCATGATCCTGGAGTCCCGGGATCAAGTCTTGCATCGGGCTCCCTGCTCGGCAGGGAGTCTGCTTCTCCCTCTGACCCTCCCCCCTCTCATGCTCTCTCTCTCTCAAAAAAAAAAAAAAAAAAAAGGAGGGCCACCTGAGGAGGCCCAGGGCTACCCTAACCACCCTGGTCCCTGTGGGACTTGTGTCCAGGGATGTTTCACAGATGAATCTCATGGATCCCTTGCCATGGGCAGATCCTTGTGTTCAGCAGGATGGGGAGTTAGCCCCTCTCAAGTTGGTCCGGGTGGGCGAGGGCTGGGTAGTCACAGGGTGTGGCCCTCATGCGTGTAGACTTTTCTTCCATGCCTTCTCTAGTGTTGCAGACTTCAGGCACAGAGGTTCCTCATAGCACATGATTGAACGTTCCTCCTCTGGGAACTTCTCCAACCCGGGGAGGGGGGGGTTGTGTCTTTTTGTTCTTTCTCTGACTTCTCTGTTTCTGGCATCTCTTCTGCTCCCATAGATGTTGGTGCTCCCCATGAACCTTTCCTAGACCACTGCTCTCTGTGTGATCTCTGTCCCTCAGGCTTGCCTGTGAATTGAACCCTTAACTCTCCCCAATAAAAATATCTGGACTTATCTGAATTGAATCCAAGCTCTGACCCATCTCTGGATGTCTCTTGCACCCACCTGCCCACATCAACAAAACCAAACCCAACCTTGTGATTTTGCTTTTTCATGCCCCATTCCCCACCCACCAATTGGCTTTTCTCCCTGAATTCCCCATCTCAATCAAAAGGACCACTCCTCCCCGGGCCTCAAGCCAGAATACCCCCACTGAGCCTTCCTTCCCTCTCACCCCATGGACTGTCTCCTGGGCTAGTGCCTTATTTTCACTGTTTCCCTGCCTCCACTGTCTCCTTGACACAGACCCAGAGCACACAACCCGGAGATCAAGAGTCACTTGCTCTTGTGACTGAGCCAGCTGGGTGCCCCAGAGCTGAATTTTATTTTTTAAAGATTTATTTATTTATTTGAGAGAGAGAGAGAGGGAGTGTGTGCATGAGTGGGGGGGGGGAAGGGCAGAGGGAGAGGGAGCGAATAGCAGGAGATGAGGCCAGAGGGAAAGGGGCCATATCTCACGGGGCTTCAGAGGCCATTGTAAAGCCTTTGGCTTTTCTTCTGGGAGGGAAAGGAAGTGTTGGAGGGTTTAGACAGAGGAGGGAACTGGCTGACTTATGTATGTAAGGGATTATCCCGGCTGCCATGTAGAGGAGACCACAGAGGGGTGAATGGAAGCAGCCAGGCTTGTGCAGAACTGAAAAGAGAGGACGGTGTCCTGAGCGAGGTGGAGCGTGGAGGCAGTGGGAGTGGTCAGACTCTGAAGCCAACAAGATTTACTGATGATTGACATAGATGGGAGAAGAAGGGGTGAGCGATGGCTCCCAGGGGAGGCTGGGAGGTGCATGTGTAGGGGAAGATGAGAGCTCAGCTTGGACACACCAGGTTAGAGATGCCTATATATGTGCGATGTCTCAGTCAGGATGCAGAGTTGGCACTTAGACCAGTGAAGGGCTCAGGGAAGAAGTCTGGTCATTGTCACTGGGTAGTGGGATTTTAAGCCTTGAGTCTGGGTGGGCCCTGAGACCCAGGATTGTGTGCACTCAGAGAAGACCGGGTCCCTCCAATGTGAGGATGGGGTTCTGGGGCTGGGGGAGAGTTTAAACCGGTGTGGCCAGGAGGGAGGAGGAGGTGTTCCAGAAGGCAAGTGGAGAACTTATCTCAGGAAGGAGGGAGCACTCAGCACTATCACGTGCTGCTGCTGAAGTGGGATCAGGAACTGAGAAGTGACTGTGGGACTGATAACGTGGAGGCCATCGGTGACAGTGACCCAAGCATTTCCTGTGGAAGGGTGTACAGAAGCCAGGTGGGCCTAGGATGAGAGGAGGGGAGGGGAGGAGAAAAGAGATGGACAGGTAGCTAAAGGCGGAAGTGGGTCAAAGTTAGTTAGTTAGTTAGTTAGTTATTTTTGTGGATGGGAGAAGCATGTTTGAATGGCAATTGAAGTCATCCAGGAGAAAGGGGAGATAGATGATGAAGGAAGGGGGAGGATTTGTGAAGGTGAGAAGTGGGGGCAAATACTGGGGGATAGACATCAAGAGGCTGGGGATGTGCCCCTCCCCCTCCAGCAGCTCCCCCTTTCTTAGGGAGACGGCAGGTGGGTTGTCAGTGAAGAGAGGGAGAGACATGTTGGAGGCTTGAAGATCAAGGGGAGAGGGTGAGGAATCATCCAGGAGGTCGGGAAAGTGAAGGGTTGGCAGGGAGCCCTTGCAGGACGGACTTTGCTGGGGGGGCAGAAGGCACTGTTTGTTTCTTCACTGTCACTACAGCTAGGCTGAAAGCTAACTTGAATCTGGACCTCTGTCATAGAAATTTTGTCCCCAGAAAGACTACACTGTGATGCAACATTGAATTAAAATGCCGTCATGTACACGGAAGATTGCCTGTCATGTATCAGGCAATTCACATACAGTAGAGATGGCTACATTCCTCAGGAGACTCTGCAGACCCTGCGCAGCCTGGGAAAGGGCTGCAGCCCCTCCACGTGATGGAAGGAGCTCTCAGTAGCTCCTGATTAGCTTTCAGGGGCGTTTTTGTTTTTGTTTTTGTTTTTAATTTTAATTCCAGTATAGTTAACATACAGTCAGGAGGTGCTTTTCAATTCCAGCCCCACGCCTGGGTGGCTCAGTCACTTAAGTGTCTGACTTCGGCTCAGGTTATGATCTCGGGGCTCCTGGGATCAAGCCCCACGGCAGGCTCTAAGGTCAGTGGGGAGTCTGCTTGTCTCTCTTCCTCTCCCTCTGCCCCTCCCCCTGCTCATGCTTTCTCTTTCTCAAATAAATGAAATCTTTAAAAATAAATAAATAAAAAAGTAAGTAAATAAATAAATAAATTTCAGCCCCAAATCATTCAAATAAAAGATGGAACTATGAACTTAACCAAGCGGGAATCTTTCTTTACCTAGAGATTAGTTCACGGGAAGGCCCTGGAGCGCAGGTTTCAAGTGTGGCCCAGAGATGTTGCGGCCACCACATCCTGGGCCTCACAGCTGATGGCAAGGTGGCCCAGAGGGGCTAGACTCAGGCTCTGGTGATTCTACTGAAGAAGAAAGCGGCAGGTCCGTGAGACTGGATAGATGGGTGTATGCTGTTGTGAGTTGATGAAAGAAATATTTGATAGACACGTAAGAGTGTTTCTTTTTTCTGGAAGAGTCTTTGTTAGACCAAGGGTGCGGCACTCCCTCCCCCCACCACACACACACACTGTTCCTCAAAAAGGAGGAAAAGCTGCAGACTGTCTTGGAGCGGGTCTCCCCAGGGGGGCTCCTGGTCTCCCCTCTGAAGTGGCTTGTCCTAAGAGGTTCTACCAGTTGGCAAGCAGAGGGCTTTCATCCAGGGGCAGCAAACTTCAAGGCCCCTCCTGTCAGTCAGGCCCTAGGAGGTCAGGGGGCACCAGGGCAGAAGGCACCAGGGTAGGCCCCTCGCAGGCTGCTGTGGCCTGGCCTCCACAGTGGATCTCAGCCGGTCTAGCCTGCCTGCTGAGTGCCAGGATCCACCCCAATGAATACAGACTGAAGCAAGGATAGAATTTCAGGGAAGCAGTACAAAGCATTGCCTTTGGCTTTTTGTGCTCAGTTTCTTTCAAATTAGAAAAGGAAAATTGGGAAAAGGAAAATAAGGAGACAGAGTTTAGCCTAACAGTTTGACTTTCTACCTCACTGAACTGCTCAAGTCTGCTGGCTCTTCTGCCAGCTGCACCAGGTTGGGATGGAGATGGGGGGTCAGGCACGTTGGACCTCCCTCAGTGGTTCCTCAAGGGCTGGATCCTAGGACTCCAATCCCCCCCGGCCCCAGCCTTGCACTAACGGAAAGTAACACCTCACCCATCTCCATGGACTTGCTCTAGCATCGGGCCTGGTGGTGGACTGCCAGAAAGAAGGTTCCTTTGTCCCTGCCGGAGACGGCATTAACTAGTCATTGGGATGCCTCCCCCACCCATCTCCAGCTGTCTGGGGTCAGCCTTTGAAGGGGACAATAGCTCTGAACTTGAGCTGCATGTTGGGATCACCTGGGGAGGGAAAGATACGAATACCAGGGTCCTGCCCCCACAGGTTCTGATGTCATTTGTCTGGGGTATATAGTCTAAGAGTCAGAAATTTAAAAATCACCCCAGGTGTTTCTAATGTATAGGTCTAGAACCTTGGTACTCACCATGTCGTCCGCAGACCATAGTCTAGGGAGGTTGTTAAAAATGCAGCTCTCACCCTAGACTTATTGAATCAGAATCTGCACTTTATCAGGACGAAAGAGGGGAACTCACGATCCTACCATGTGGCCTGGTGCTGAGGGTTCGAGTGGGAGATGCTTGTCAGGACTCAGCAAACGGTGGCCGAGAAGATGCCACTGGGCAGGAAGAGGAGGGTGGAATGGGGCTTGGCAGGGCCACCTAACTTGATAGAGCCCTCTACAGGCTGCTTCTCTGAGAAGTGTCTCTAACGCAGTCATTTTCAATGTCATTTCAGCGTTTCCAGGAGACTGGACCCCAAGGAGCCCCCGGGTAGCCAGAGAGCAGCTTCCCCAACCCCGAAGCAGGCTTCTGCTACTGCTCCCGGTCGCGAGAGCCCCCGGGAGACAAGGGCGCAGGGCCCAGCAGGCCAGGAGGCTGATGGCCCCCGCAGGACGCTGCAGGTAGACAGCAGGACGCAGAGATCAGGGCGGTCCCCCTCTGTGTCACCGGACAGAGGCAGCACCCCCACATCACCCTACTCCGTCCCCCAGATCGCCCCCCTTCCCAGCAGCACGCTGTGTCCCATATGTAAGACCTCGGACCTCACGTCGACCCCCAGCCAGCCAAACTTCAACACCTGCACCCAGTGTCACAACAAGGTCTGCAACCAGTGTGGGTTCAACCCCAACCCTCACCTCACCCAGGTAACCACCTTCTGCGCCGGCTCCCCCCACCTACCTTCCCATGTCTCCCTCGGTTCCCTTCCCCCCGCCTTTTTTTTTAAAGTAGGCTTCATGCTGAGCATGGAGCATAACCGGGCTTAAAATCACAACCCTGGGATCAAGACCTGAGCTGAGGTTGAGTCGGACACTTAACTGACTGAGCCATCCAAGGGCCCCTCCCTTCCCCTCTTTACCCAACTCTCTTTTCCTGGTCATTTCCCTTGGCCACCAGAATGTGTGTCTTCCTGGCTCCAAGATGTGGTAGCAGAGAACAGACCTGGTCGCAGATCTCCTGAGGGATTCCTGCACCTCCTGAAACCGCGGGCAGAGTCCCAGCAGAGAAGATGTTTTCTTACCCAGTGCAAGTTTGACCCAGAAAAATGGCCTCAGAAAGGGCCAAAAACAGGCTTCTGGGCAACTTTTCTCAATGGATACTCATCTGGAGAGGGCCACAAGCAACTGCAGGCTGGAGGGGAGGCAGATTTGCCTGGCCCCAGGCTGGCCTTTCTCCCTGACAGTGGGCACTGGAAGGGGGTGCTGGTGAGGGAAGCAAGGTTTTAGGGGGGGCAGGAAACGGCCTTCCAGTTGCGCTCTGGGAAGCTTCTCCTCTGGTTTCCATTCCAGTTAGCTGGGGCCTGACGTGGTAGAGCAACTAGCCATTCCCAGGGAAACAACCTTGGGGTAGAGAACCAGGCTAGGAGCCAAGCATTCACAATGGGTGACAGTGTCCTACTCTCACTAAGAGGCCACTGCAGGGCCATTTCCACGAAATTGGCCTCCCTTTTGCCCCAGAGGACCCTGGGTCCTCAGCCCCACCCTGGCTTTGTTCAGGATGCTTTGGGTTGCTGGGGGATGCTCAGCCAAGCCCCTGGAGGCTCTTTTTGGTGACTTGGAGGCTGGGTGTCCCAGTGTACTAGTAGAGCTGGGGCCATGCCTCTGAAATGAACTAAGCAGGTTTGCTGGCTTCCCCCCTCTCCTCTGGGATAACCCGGAGAAGTCTCTAGCTCCTCCCCCAGGGCTCTGCCCTTGGGCAGGATGGAGCATGGCTGGCTACAGGCAGAGGCATGGCTGCGTCTGGGACTATCAGCAGCCGGAGCCATTTGGACCTCGTGGGTGGGGGGACGAGTGAGAATAATTGTTCGCAGGTCGGGGTCTATTTGTGACATGAGGTGCCGTGGGTGTGGGATGTGTGGTTTGCGAGAGGTAAGTGTGAGCTTCTGAAGAAGGAGCTGCTGTTGTGGGGAGATGACTCAGTAGGTTTGGAGTCGCTCCTGGAGTGTGGGGGCTTCCTTGAGGAGGCGGGCACACTCGTGATTATTGCATCTGTGATTAGAAACAGGCCCGTCCCTGCACTGATGGGTTAGGTAAGTGTTGGGCCTTCAGCACTTAGAACAGTGTGACCCAGACCAGAGAAGCTCACCTGCGTTCTTCTGCCAGCGAGAAGCTGGAAGCACCTGGCCCCACGGGAACAGAGAGGTTTGGCAGGCAGGGACGAGATGCTGCTGTGGACCCCCCTATGGCCGCGCCCCTCTGGGTTCCAGCCTTCCTGAGGCGCTCACTCGAGCCGTAGGGCCTAAAGCCCTCTGGATGAGGTGGGCGGGGATCAAGGGAGAGCCATGCGTGGTACACTGGTTTCCTGGCGGGAAGCCCAGTCCTTGCCACGCAACAGGCTCCCCCAAGCCCAAGACCTTGGGTGAGGTGGGAAGGGAGCCAGCCTTTGATGTGCTGGGAAAAACAGCAGAGCGGGAGGACCTTGGCGATACTCGGTCCATCTGCCTCATTGTGCCGGGAGGAAGTGGAGGCTCAGGGCCAGGAAGGAAGGGGCCTCAGACTTACTGCAGATTCACCGTGTTTGGTGACGAGCAGGCCTCCCTACCAGGTACTTCGAGCAAATGCCGAGCCAGACAAATGCATTCGTTCTTTGCTATGAGGCTTCCCGGGCCTTCAGCATCCTGAATGACACCACGCAGCTCCAAGACACAGCTGTCGCCAGCAGCCTTTCCCAGACTTGCTTTCACAGAACATTGGGGACTGCTGTTCCATGGCATCAGTTTGGGAAACGCTGACCTAGTGCATTCTCCAGGTTCTCAGAACCTGGTGGATGCCTTTTTCTGAAGGGGTCTCCAAGCAGAACCTTTTCTTCTCCAGAATTGGCTTTCAGTGGGGTTCCTGTCAAGGTGAAAGAACCCTTGGCACATTTTCCTGAGAGGCCCGCATAGCCTAATTCTTCAGAGCTGTTGGCCTTGAGCAGAGTCACCTCCCTGGTCACATGTCCACGTAATGAGAAAACCAGTTTGTAGGTTTTGCTCACACACCTGCCGATCCACCCTGCTCAGAACCTGTTCTGGCACCTCTAACTTGACATTATGTCAGCCAAGAAGGCCGTTTCTGGGATTACCCTGGTGTCTGTGGGCTGGGCTCCTGCCTGGCCTGAGGTTCTGGGCAGGACGAGGGGCTGGTTCTGGAGTGGGGTGCGTCTCGGTGGCAGCTGCTCAGGCTGAGCGACCTTTTCCAGGAAACCCAGCGCTGGTCCTCACGTCTCAGGAGGAGCCCTGCGAGAGTGCAACGGGAGGTGGCGCTGATCCCTGCACAGATGCATTGTGGACACTGGCCACTGGGGAGCATGTTGGGGACCTTGTCTGGGGGTGGGGGTGCGTGTCTGAAACTGCTGGTGTAGTGAGGTTCAGGCAGGGCTGAGGAGGGCTGGGTCCTGCGTTCTACCCAGAAGCTCACCAAAGCCTCATCAGGGCGGGTCAGCAGGATGCTCAGCTTCCTGCCGGCAGGAGTTCTAGAGAGGGACGAGGGCCACGCACGCGGCATGGAGAGTTTCACTGCTAATGCAGCTGCCCTTGGATATTTGGAAATGTGAGCATGGAAAACGGACCTTTCTTCCCAGGTAGAGAGAGAATCACTGGCTTGTCCCTCAAGTTGCGGCCCAGATGAGGAGGGTGACAGAGTCATTGTGCTGAATGGCTGGGTGAGGGCAGAGGAACAGAAAGGAGGGAAGAGATGGCCACTGGAACTCAGTGAATTTGTCTTTCCACCTCATGGCATCCGTCAGAGTCTTGTGACCTTACCTGGGTCTTTCAGAAACAGTAGACTGGGTGTGGAGAGGAGAATCACCTACAGGTAGAACAGTCCATCCCATTCGGCCAGAGCAGCGGCTGAGATGTGGAACCACTCCTTTCCTGGGCAGTGGGCCTGGGCTTCTCCTATCCGTTCCCAGTCTTCTCCTATCCGTTCCCGGTCTTCTCCTATCCGTTCCCAGGCCGCCCGGGGGCTCCTGCGCTCACACAGACGTGGTGCTTGCCGTTCTGCCCAGGCCCCGGATGGCCAGCTCTCGAGGCTGGGATGCCTTCGTTGGAGGATGCCCGCCCATGTACTCTGCTGGGCTTCTGAGGCCTGGAGCACGTTGAAACTGCGTGGAAGTCAGGGAAGGAGCTCAGAGCGCTCTCTGTCTATAGACCAGGAGACTAAGTCTTGGAAAGTCTTGGCCTATTCGGGGTCATTTGGAGCAGTAGAGCTGGGGACCCCGAATCAATAGCTAGCTCTCCGGCTTTCCCTCAGGGACTCTCAGGCACCATCTTGCCCATCCACCGTACACTTTTGCTCAGGTTGAGGATAGTTCAGAGCAGACAAGCCCATCTCAGCCACTCTTCATGGTGAGGCCATTTCTTTTTGGAGTTCTGCGGTCCTGGAGCTCAGGGCAGATGAATAATTTAACCTGTTTGAAATCGTGGCAAAAGACTGCAGGTTTCCTTGTGGGGGCTGAACATCTCTCACCACCCTTAAGAGGCCACCCCTGTGAGGATGCACTGACCAGGAGGCCACACTGACCAGGAGGCCAGGGGCATTAGCGTGTAAGCCCATTCCGTGCCCAGTAGTGGGGAAAAGGCAGGAAGATTGTTCTCTCCTCTCCCTGGATGTGAGTCTTTAGAAAAGTATCTTAACTTCCCAAATGTCCGATTTCTCTAAAAGAGAAGCAGGGGGCCAGGGACCAGCCTTGGTGGCTTTGCTGATGCCTCATGCCTGCCCGGGCCTGTTCGCCCAGCCCTCCACTCTTCAGTGACTTAACGTTCAGGCCTGCCACCCCTTTCTTCTCCAGGAGGGAGGCCCTTGTTGCACAAGTCAGCCTCTATCCTGGTAGCTGGGGATAGGAGAAGAGGCATGGCGATGAGCCTGCTGGGTGGAGTCTGGGAGGTGAGGTTTGGGTGGGCAGTGGGGGTGGGAGTGAGCTGCTGGAGAAGATGAGCAGTGGCCAGGGGCAGCCCGGATCTGCCAGTCCTCTCAGGGGCCTCCCTGCCCCTCTTGGAGCGGCCCGGCAGCACATCCTGGCCTGGGAACTCCTCCAGATAGGAGTCCGTCCTCACGCTAGGAACAGCGTCACACAGGGAGGGCTATGCAGACTCGGGGCTGGCTCGTGCCTGTGTTTCCAGATCTGACTGGCAGAATTGTCCCAGAGCACCACCTCCAGCGAGGCTACAGCCCACACCTGGGAGGCCCACCCTCTGCCCCATCCCTAGCCTTCCAGGTTCAGGCAGCCTGTCTGAGCTCATCTGCCTCCCACCTCTGTTGCTCTAGTCAGAATCGCTCAGAAGCCCCTCTAAAAAACTACAGAAGAATGATCGTGGTCTTTCTTCACCTATTCCAAGGTCTGGACTTTGCCAAGACCAAGCCGAAGGTGTATAATCCATTGCGCACCCCCCTTCATCCCCACTCCATCGGCAAGCCATGGTGGGTGGTGTGGAGAAGGGAGGGAGATAAGCAATGGCCATAAGGCTTCCCTCTATTGCCTGCAGCCCACTCCTTTCCGGCAAGGGCCGGGCGCCAGATGGCCCGGGGGAGGTGCTGCGAGTGCAGCACGGATCCTCCACTGCAGCCACCGGCCTTGTCCCCTTCCCTCTGTTCCTTCCTGGCCACACCGCCCCATGGGCCAGTCGGGGGTGAGGAGCAGGTGTTAGGAGGACATAGATGGGCAGTGG